TGGTTCACAGGAGGCTGACCTGGTTCCTTGAGACCAACAATATTCTTAGGAGTGAACAAGCCGGTTTTAGGCCACAAAGATCAACGAACAAACAGGCAGCCATTTTCTCCAACACATCAAAGATGCCCTTGATGCAAGAAATGCCCTTACGGCTGTTTTCGTCGATTTCAAATCAGCATATGACTTAGTATGGGAAGAGAAGCTAATTCTAAATTTGGCAAAGATTGGTATTAAGCATAACATGCTAAACTGGATAAAAGCATTCATTGGACAAAGATCGTGTAAAGTCAGATATGGAAATGCTCTATCAAAATCCAATCTTTTACAAACAGGCCTTCCACAGGGAGCTGTCACAAGCTGTACTCTTTTCAATGTCTTCATCAATGCCAGAGCCGAATTGGTACAGACAGTCACGGGCATCAAATGTTTACTTTATGCAGATGATCTTGTTCTATGATAACGCTAAGAAAAAGGCTCAGGAGAGGACAGAAAGTGCCCTAAATTGTGCACTTAAACTACTAGCAAACTGGTGCGACAACAATGGAATGGTAATTATCACTAGCAAACTGGTGCGACAACAATGGACTGGTAATCAACAGCTACTGCATTCCAAACATTTCCTCTCCCTCGTCTTAGCATAAACCCGCGCTTTTTCTTTGGCCCGTCTCAGCATAAACTCGCTTCTAAGGGACAAGGATACTACCATAGAAAAAACCAATGAGTTCACATATCTCGGAATGACTTTTGGCACAAAGCTAACGTGGAAAAGTCACATTGCTAAAATGGCAGAACGAGTCTCCAATAAACTGAATGTCCTGAAGCGTCTTGCTGGTAACGTATGGGGCTGTGCACGCTCAACTCTCAACACCACTTACAAGATGTTTATTCAGCCAATAATGTTGTATTGCTGTGAGCCACTCATTACAGCCACAGAGGTGACTTTCAAACCACTCGAGAGGGCACGCAACCAAGCATTACGACTAATTACTGGAGGGATAAAATCAACGCCTATTGATGCAATGCTCCTAGTTAAGGGAAGCACCTAAAAAGGTTCCCTTATCAAAGAGAAGGCTTTGATCCTGTATGAGAAGTTACTGCGCATTCTCATGGATAAGTTCTTCAGCACCTATGAGAATAGACCAAGACATCTGAAAACGCAATCTGGTCTGATACAGAAAGCCATAGAACCGAATAAAGCAGTACGAATTGATGAAAAAAAGCCTCTCTCTCCCCATGAACCCATTAGCAGACATTGATGTAGTGTGTTGCACCCAACTGCTTAACTTTTTCAGAAAATCAAACACCCTTCCAGAGCAAATGCGCTCACTGGCCCTTGAGACAATCAATGTCAACTATCCTGAAGATCAATGGCTTCAAGTCTTCACTGATGGATCATACATAGAAAACCAAGCAAACATTGGTGCCGGTGTCTATTCAGAACTCTTCTCTTTCTACACAGCAGCGGGACACAATAGATCCGCTATTGAAGGAGAAATAGAGGCAATTAGGATAACACTATGCCAATTATGTTGCCTGGATACGAAATTCACCAAAGCGGTGATACTTTCGGACTCACAGTCAGCAATAAACTCAATTGGAAGCAGAGAGCCACCCAAAACAGATGAGATAAAGGAATGTAGAAAACCCTTTGAGCTTCTGAGAGAGAGAAACATAACAGTGGTCCTACAACGGATTCCTGATCACTGTGGCATTAAAGGCAGTGAGCTTGCTGACACACTTGCTAAGAAGGAGACAAAGATTTTACAATGCATGGACCGGCCGATGTCTTTCCACACAATGAAGGCCTTAATCAGGAGAGAACTCCAGACCTCAAGGTGCAACGAAATTAAAGCTCGAACAAAGGAGAAACAGTGGACAGTGACACTCTCTGGCATACCCGACTGGCCAAGAATCGAAGGCGTTGTTGAGTTTAGACTACGTACCGGACACGATGGCTTGGCAAAATACCTTCACAGATTGGAAGTATACACTGAACCCACATGCCCTTTATGTAACCTACAGGAGGAAATGGAGAAGACCCACCTGCTTCGATGTCCAGCCCTAAAGACAAGGACGGAAAGCCAAAAATACTGGGAAGCAAGAAGACAGCTAATGAACTGCTATCAATTAACTGCTATAAATGTACCCCCCCCCCCTCTTGGGGGAAGCTGAAGTCAAAGATTAAGGGCTAATGATAAATATCATAAAGCCTGCCATTTGAAATAAATACCTTGTAATTCTTTTCCACAGCTTTCTAAACGTGTTTCGAATCTTACCTCCTTGGATATGTCTTGCGCGTCACCTAGACTACTGAGTTATGGAAGGGATTGGTCGTTGGCTGTGCCTGGAACCTACAAACCACACCTGCCGTTAGTGCGTTTAGCAGGTGTGAAGAATTGCCTTATGGTGATGACGTCAAAGCAACATCCTCGAAAGTGCACAATGCTGGGTGAGTTTCTGCCTTTTTTTCTGTTTTCGACTGATTGAGACTTATGCAAGTGCCATTCATTGTATAGCGAGCAGTTATTGAAAACCTTGCAAAAGTTATTTATAAATAGCACTTCGCTAATCTTTGAGGTAATTTTTGTTTCTGTTTTTTTGCCCGCATTAAAGTGTTTTCACTAAAACCATCGCATTCACACCTGGAAATGAGACTACGCTTGTTAGTGGCTTAATAAGAGGGTTTAATGCTCTCACGCATAATACATCAGGGAGATTCACAGATGATTATTAGTAAAATATGCTAGAAGTATTCCACCAAATGATGCTCAAATGCTGTTTGCTGGAAAATTTCATCGGTTAAGAGCTTGTTAAAAGACAAATAGCAACGCAACCAGGTGTGTGTGTGTGTGTGCTTTTGTAGAACTATTCCCACGAATATTATCTTCAGAGCAAAATCATAGAAGAAAAGTGGGGAATGAATGCCAAAAAGAGGTATCTATTATGGTTATACTAGTTAGCCCTTTTCCAGTTGATTTGCCATTATCGATTTGTGACATTCTTATAGTATGATTCCGGAATAATGATATATATATTCAATACTTTTTTATTTGTGTATTAAATACTGGAAACCTCTAATTGGGAAATTATCATTTTCGATCACTATTATTATTAAACCACACTGTTTTTCATCTTTTTTTCAGGGTCTAATGGCAAGTCTTACGTCTTCCTGTTGAAGGGCCACGAGGATACTCGTCAGGATGAACGTGTCATGCAGTTCTTCGGTCTTATCAACACTCTTCTCATGTCGCATCCAGATACACTTCGCAGAAATCTCACGTAAGCTATCCATTACGTACTCTTCCATTTTCCATTCAATGCTTAATGCTTAGTCTATTTCTTTCTGAAGTTCAGTGATTTTGGAAAATAGTCTGAGGTCGTTTTATTTTGTCGCGTTACCCTTTTTTGTTTCATAGGATCGAACGGTTCTCGGTTATTCCACTGTCAACCAACACTGGCCTCATTGGTTGGGTACCCAACAGTGACACCGTCCATAGTTTGATTCGTGAGTATCGTGACAAGACTGACATCACTTTGAATCAAGAGCATCGTGAAATGCTCCATTTGGCTCCTGATTTTGATCGACTCAACCTTAGTCAAAAGACAGAGGTGTTTGAGGCTGGTCTCAGGGTTTCAAATGGCAGAGATTTGGCTAACATACTGTGGTATAAGAGTCACAACTCTGAAGTAAGTTTCACTCAAGAGGTTCTTTGTCTCATCTCATTTCATTCTTGTCAATACTTAATATGAGAATTCCTGGTTCTAGGTGTGGTTTGAGCGTCGAACGTCATTTATTCGCTCTCTTGCTGTCATGTCAATGGTCGGCTACATTCTTGGTCTTGGTGATCGGTAAGTTATTCTTTATCGTATGTATAACAGCATCCCTTCTTATAAATCACTCCTGTTTAGCAAATGCTTTGAAATTGAAAGTAGCCTTCAATAGGGGGGGGGGGGGGGAATAGTCCCTATGGTTGGTTTAAGTGTGTTCTCAATATCCCCCCCCCTTTTCTTTATGCTTTTAATTACAATACTTAAAATACATAAAGGCCTCTTATTCTTGGCAAGTTCAGTTGATAGTTCCTTTTTTAACCATTTCGTATCGATTTTCATTTGTGATCGATCAATCAGAAATAAATGTTGACAGTTTATGTAGTAAAATAGGGAATAAGAATCTTATTATTGAGATTAAGTTTTGTCAAATACTGAGCAAATCTAGAAAAATAGTATACTTATTTGTGGTTAAAATCACAAACGAATAGAATACGCAGAATTTTCAAGGCTTACAGAGAGTTAATTGGAATATTGAGTCCAATTTGATCACGTGATTTAAATTTGACCCATTTTATATCGCCATGACTCTTTTTAAATATTCCTATTTGGGGGATCTTGTCTCGAGTTTTATTTATGCGAAAGTTATGCCAAACTTTTTGGTTCGATGCAATTTTCTGTGTTTTCCTTCTTTGACTATTTCCGGGTGTAAAAATAATGATATAGTTTACTTAAGAATGGTTAGGATTAAACTGTTATTATATATCAGGTCTGTTATTATTCATATTAAATTTTCCAGGCACCCTTCAAATCTGATGCTCTGTCGTGAAACTGGGAAGATAATTCACATCGATTTTGGTGATTGTTTTGAGGTGGCCATGATGCGTGAAAAGTATCCCGAGAAAATTCCCTTCCGTTTGACCCGCATGTTAGTTGCCGCCATGGAGGTAACTGGTATCGACGGCACCTATCGCCACACCTGTGAAACTGTCATGCAACTCATGCGCTCAAATCGAGACAGTCTCCTCGCTGTCCTCGAAGCCTTTATTCACGATCCACTCTTGCAGTGGGTTCTCCTTGATACTAAGAAACCCACTCTAGCTGGAAATGGACAAGCTCCTGGTGCAGTAGTCTTACAGCAACATCCAAATTGTGGTGGCAGAATCGTTCCAGGTCAACAGATGCTTCCAGAAGCTTCTACAGCCAGATACCCTCAACAAGTCTCAAAAGCGGCCCCTCAGCTACAAGGTGTTGGTGGAAGGAATCCCACGAACCCTATTATTCCCTATGTGTTTACAGATCCCAACTATCCAAGTAGTTTGTCTCTCAGGGACTGTCGACACATTAACCCTTGGCGGCACCATCTTTGCAATGGCCCATGGCTTGGGTGCTATGAGACTGGTAGGCGCCCTATTTGTTATTTTTCACCTGCAGTAAATATGGGCTTGGAGAAAGAGTTGTTATTTATGGAAATTTTACTATTTATAAGGAAATGTTGTCGATCAAGAGTTTAGTTAAGTTACTATGCTTTTGTCTTTTACGACTCAATTAGTGCAGTGATAAGCACTTACGTCTGTTATGATAGAATTCCGAGGTATCGTAGGTTGATAAATTGAATGTTTATGTGCACTAGTAATACCTGGTCGAGAGAGGGTTAGACAAATCCAAGTTTCACTTAAAAATCCCAAACAGTTTTTAAAAAAATTATTTCTGGAAAGTAATTTACTATTATAGACTTGGGAGCATTATCATTATTGCTTATTCCTCCTTCTATTAGCTCACTATTGAAAGTAACTTGCACTTAATTTGCTAAGCATATCCGTTCCTCATCCAATTGCAGTAATGTGCTTTCAGCACTTCTCTTTCTCTTTAAAGAGAAACTCAAATGTCCACTTCTGTTTATTAATGGCTAATTGGGTGTCAAAAAGTCTTTATGATTGATCATACACGCCATGTAGAATTAACTGTTTTGGCTGTGTTATGATAGAGTTGTGTAAGCTTAGTTTGGTCAATAAGCGTTATTTTCGTATATTTCTTTTATGGCCTAGTCTTCAGAATGCTGTATCCTAGTTAGGGCCGTAAAAAATGTAGCATGCTAAGAAACTCTCCGAAATTTTCTCAAAAAGATAAAGCCTATGTGTGTTAGGAGCCAAACAGTCTACTGTGTTATGAAGATTGCGACCTATATGTACTCAAAGCGCTATCAATAGATGTTTCCTATATTCCGCTGTCTTGGATGTTACCCTTTGAAATTTCGTGTTGTCATCTACATACCCTCATCTCTGTTTTTTAATGGCTCATCACCTAGAGCGCTATTGCTCTAGAGAGCTTTTAACTGATGTGTTGCCTATCGCTCTATTTGTCCTGCTGCCAGTTTACTTCATTGTGGGAATATTGACGCGCTTATTCCACTTTTAGCCAAAGGAATGCGACGGCAAACTGAGGCTGGCGCCATCGTTTGTGATCGCGTTGGAATGCAGAACTTCATCTTCTCTGCGAAACCACCATCGGAAACAGATATGTACGACGACTTGCAATCTGGCGGAATGGGCAACGCTAGAGCTCGTGACGTTCTAAGCAGAATTCGTCGAAAATTGGATGGGAATGAAAATGCAATCCAGACAACTATTCAGCAACAAGTGGATGATCTAATTCGTGAAGCAACATCTACCAGAAATATTAGTCAAATGTACATTGGTTGGTAAGTGCATTCATCTCTTCGTTCTCCAATCAGATTGCTTTTTGCTGGAATATAAACGTCTTTTCTTTCTCAGGTGCGCCTTCTGGTAATCTTTGGTGATCGGAGTACAATCTTGCGATTACAATAATTCTAATCGATCATTGTCCTCTTCCTCTCCCTTTATCTTACCTTTCCCCACCCAAATTGAGTTTCCCTTATGTATATTCTTAATGCTTTTCCTAATTGTCCTGTGCTTGTGCCCTTCTTGATCATTTTTTGAAATAAAACTGTTTGATACTGGCATTCGTGTTAGGTTTAGTGACTTCGCAAGTTGGAAATTAACTGACCATGCGTTGAATGACAAAAGCTGATATCAAAAAGGCAGCTCTATCAGATTATTATGTTACACATTTGTTTAGCATGCATAGGATGTCATTAGAGAATTAAACGGTTGTCAAATCTGGATTGCGCATCATTATTGATATTTATTTATTTCAAATGGAAGTCGTTTTGATAGTTATCAATAATCCTTTAGATGACTTCGGGCCTCACAGAGGGTAGGAGCGTAAAAGTGGGAAAATTCGAGAGGGGAACAAAAGAGTGATTCACAATGTAGAGGAGCCAGTCACTAAGGCTGAGAAAAGGTAAGGTGAGCACTATGAAAGTGGTCGAATATGACATACAGTGGCGTCATGGTAGTTTGAAGTCAAATTCAACCGCCGGCTTATGAACTTTATTGCCTTATGAGTATACGTTGACCAGTGGCATCGCGTGGAGGTAGATCTATCGCACATTCCTTGCTATTGATATCAATGTTACTAAACGTAGAGATTTTGATAATCAATTTTCAACTTCGGGCAATAAATGCTGCTCAAGAACCCACTCTATTCCTACGCTATCTTTCAGTTTGTAGAAATGCCAAGCATGAACTATGCGCCATTATAATTCTTTTTGGAAGAAAAGGAGTTAGCTTATGTATAAAACACACAGAGAGGATCGGAAACGACTACTACAACTGCCGAACCATATGAAAAAAGGCTAACATGGACCGAAATAAAAACCCTAGCGAAATCTTCAGCTTGGCGCCTTGAAGTGCTAATATTGTGTTATTTCTTTTATCTGTAAATATTTTTTACATGTGGGGGAGCAATATATGTAGAAGAAAAAGATAAATTCATTAATTTTAAATAGAATGTCTTACTTTCTGAAATAGAATAAACGTTGTTTAGTGCATTTCATAAATATCATTTATAAAATATTAAATTAACTTGAGTGAAAATAAATTAAAATGCATAACTAGCTTGAAAAATGTTCTCTCATACATGCTGTGTTCAAACTGCAAATTGCGCAATGTCTTGTAAAACCATTTGACTTCTCACCCTTCTTCAAATGGCAGGCGTTTTGAATATTTATCATTAGCCATTTAGCTGACTTCGGGCTTCGGAGAGGGAGGAAAAAGAACGTGAGAAAAATTCGAGAGTCGGAGCAGAAGATTAATTTACAGATGTAGAGGAGACAGAGAGACACAAAGGTGAAGAAAAGATGAGATGAGTACAGTGAAAGTTGTGGAATATAACGCACAGTGGGGTCATGGTAGTTTGAAGTCAGAAGTCAACTACCGGTTAATAAACTTTTTTACCGTATGAGTATAGGTTGCCCAGGGAGCACCACGTGGAGGTAAGTCTATCGCACATTCCGCCTTCTCAATCATTGGTTACATTAAAGTGAAGTGGCAAAACCAATGAGTAAAAATGTACCAAGGGACAAAAAAAGAAATCTGAATTTAATTGGGCAAATTTCTCAGTCGGTGAATTTAGTGCACAGCGCAAATTGGATTTTTCGTTATTCTACATAAGCCGGCTTCCATTTTTAAATTTCCTCATTTCTTAATTTTTATGGATAGAGTAAAAGATTGATCTACAAATCCGGTCAAAAAACAAAGGCTGACACTTTATATAATGGTAAAAATAAATACCAAGCCATTCAAGATTAAAACATTGCGAATATTATCAATATATTTAATCCAGAGCACAATAACATCTTCAAATTTATCAGATACATTGTAGCAGGCGAAAAAATAATAACATTTATTATTTATAATTATTTTACATTTATTTTGAAATTTTTGCAAAATTTAATAATTTTCATTTATTTGTTTTACTAAATAATTAAGAAAGGCCGTTAACGTTTCACTAATTCAACCTTGTTTTGTATAGTTTTTTATCTGTTGGAGGCAATTGTGGTAAGAATTTTATTAGTACGTTTTATTATTTCCATTGATGAGCAAAAAAATTATTGAACTTTTAATATTCGTTATCATTCTATATTTTGTTATATTTTTCTGCAAGAGTGATTGGTTTATCTTCATGAATTATATGGTGTTTCATATGCATTTTGTTTGATACATATCGCTCTGATCTTGAGTATCATTAGCTTGAAAACCTAGTATGTATTTAAATGAGTGTGTGAGACACGTCATCGCATGCACGTTACTGTAACACTTAAATTTCAGCATTTTCGAGTTTATTAATATTTTGTACTGAGTAGCGATTTTAAATTTTGAAATCCTTTTCACTTTCAGTAATCTACATTGTATCGGGGAATCGTTAAAGCATAATGGCTGGAGTCCGTGGGGCTATTCAGGAACTGAAAGTTCAGCAGGACAGCGTTCAATCAAATATTGAAAAAATCGAATCTGATATCAAGATGGTTCAAAATAAAAACTATGAAGTTTGTACCCCTCATTTAATTTCTCTCATGCCCATACTTTAAAAGCTAGAGCAAACTAAACTCTCATTAAGGCATCAAGAGATCCTTCTCAGGCAGAAGATCGAGAAAACCGAACAGCAAGTGAAAGCCAAGTTAGACAAGATTCGGAAACTTCAGGCGGATTTCCCTGGTGTTCACGAGTACATTAAACTTATAAATATATTACTGTAAATTATTAATGCGTTTCAGATCCACAGAAAATCTCAATGATGCATACGATAGACACGATAAACTGCTTGACGAACTGAAAGAGGCACGAGATTTGGCTAACAGAAATGATATGATGTATGAGGAAGTGAAAAAACGCCTTTTGAACATGGAGCAGAGTCGGCATAGAATGGAACAAAGAGCGGCTGAAAAAGAGGCGTATGCTTTTGTCGCTCTATTATTATCATACTAACATACATACCAATATCTATTCATTTCCTTTTCACTTTCACATTTAGTGAAGCCTTGCGCTTGGAGCAGGGCTTTAATGATGTCAATTCACAAGTTGAAGTTTTCATGTCAAAAGATTTGGAGGTTTGTCATCACCAGTATGCACATCAATTACTCTTCCTAACTGCACTCTAACCACTATGAAGTAAATGACACAGCTAAACTTAAAAACGTTTTAAAACTATTTGCATTTATCATATCGCAGTGTATCATATATGCAAATCTGAAATTCGCCTTAAAAAGCAACTAAAAGACTATTTAAACATTTCATATTATTGATTTCTCTTTGCTCTAAACTGATTTTTTGAAGCATTTGCGCGCTCTTTAACTCTTTTTTCAAGTCTTTTCATATAATTGCTTCCCCAAAATTTGCGTTTACTTTTCAAATAACTAGTGCTACTCAGTAGCATTTACAACTGACCAAGCTTCTAGCCTTCAAGGTACTGGGGTGGGGGGGCGTGAGGTGACTGACCTGCCATCGTAAGAGTATAAGATAAATTTGATTTTTCTGTGAAGTAAAGATGTCAAATATTTCATAGCATATTATTAGTATAATGCATACTTTTATCATCCCGTATTCCTCCTCAGTTTCCTTCGTGTACATTATATGAAAACTTGCACTGAATGTGAATGAATTTGATTGCATTTTTCACAGTAATCTCAATTTCTCTCATAGTAAACTCTTTAATGGTGTGAATAGGGCAGCAGCCTTTCCAATTTGTTCCGATAATTTCCACGCTTTTTACATGTAACTTTGCATATCTTAATACTCCCCCCCCCCATCATTACTTACTGCTCTTTAGTGGCAACAAATTAAAAATATATTAACATTATTTCTGAAATTCAATTATTACTTTTTTCAGAACGGTACAGATTTAATGGATCAAGTCGCGGAATCACAGAGAAAATTAGACGAGGTGAGGACAACCTTAAGCAACTATATACATATATATAAATTTCTACCACTATTTATCTGTTTTTATTTTTCCAATTTGCTACATTTTATTTTTTAATCTATCTAAATAGTTTTTAAATTATGTTTAAGTTATGCGTTAAACCGACCTTTCATGGGGATTATTGATTAAAGTATTTCATCTGTTTGAGTAAGGCCTGTGAATCTTCTCAAAGGTCATTCGCTATTCGGACCCTGAACTTTTATAGAACTTTCACGCAATGAGGGAAGTGCTCTCAGAGTACATGCTTCTTAAACTCAGAAATAAAGCTTTTTATACCTCTCCATACACTATTTACGAGAAAATGGTATTTTTAGTACTAATTGTCGTATTGCAAGCATGGGGAGCCATCTTTCTCGAGAAAAAACTAATGGAATTGTCCAAATTGAAAGTGAATTCAGAAAACCCTGGTAGGATAACCAATGTAAACTGGTCTTACCTCATCTTTCAACAAAAGTCCCTTGAAATTGGTTCGCTTTCTGCAGTTTAAATATTTGCATCCGACTCTTTCATTTCTCAGTTACTTTTTATGCAATTATATTCACGACTGATCTGAGTGGTTTGTTGCCCGCAAAAGGAAATTTTTACTACCATCTCGACGCAACAATCTAATCAAACGGCTATATCTTTTAAATTTGTTTTTATCGTGAGTAGACATGAGTCGCGAGGGTGCTCAGAAAACATCATAAATCGATTGCACTAACTGTTACTGCGCTCTATTTGAGGTAACCGTAAGGTCAAAATGCACTTGAGAATATCATGTGACCCCTTTGAAAGGTTTCCAGGCCTTAAATTCAAATGCCAATTTATAGAATTTTTGAGCCTCAAGCGCTGAGTGGTCAAGTGAACTACCAATAATGGTCGTGCGAAGATATGTGCTCTGCTGTCTTGGGCGCAAGCTTACATACTATTTGATTATAAAATCCGAATAAAATTAAAGCTGTTAAAAATTTTAAATTTTCAGGCTATTCGAACGGCGGAAATTGCTGAACGCGATGGAAATGCTTTCACTAAATCCATAGAAAATGTAAAAAGTAAGTGGAAAATTTTGTATTTTTTATCTATGTGTGTGTCAATTTTGTCATGATCACAATTTTAATAAGTCGAATAACTTTACTGAAGCCATTGATACGATTTTTATTCTCTGTTTTATTAGTTGAAGCTACTTCTGATTTAAAATTAAGTTAGTTGTGTTTATAAAGGAGTATGTATTGTTTGACAGGTTCATTTATAGATTAAGACTTCACTCAAGAAAATATATTTTTTTAACAGCACAAATGGTAAAACTGGAAACAATTTTGTTGTATTAAGCAAAAAATCAATATTTGCTCATTTGTTTAATCTCTCTTAAACTAGTATTTCTTTACTGAATTTTACTCCAGGCATTCCAGTTTTGTTGCAGTTAACACCAAGTAGATTAAGTATTGGCTCTTCTCAATTTAATAGAATTATTGATAGACGAAGTTTGCACAGTTTCATTGGTTCATTACAATTCAGAGTTAGCATTTCACACACCAATTTGCTGGTGCTCATTTCACGTCATCAAACTCTCCTAAAATTCTCACACATACCACCCTTAATAAGACATCCAGTTAAAGTGAAGAATATGTATTTAATCAGGCGGAAAACTGAAAGGCATTATTGAATATAACTATTTTGTATAAAATGAGCTGTGGATTCCTGAACTAGAGAGGACAAGAACTATGTGAACTTGAAATATAGTTTTGAGATCTGTGACAGCAGTTTTTTTGACTGAGACGGATTTTAGTTGCCATCCCTTTGCCTTAAGAATTAAGATAGATTAGAACCTCTTTTGGGAGTACGGAATTTTCAACCCCTGTTGTTTGTTCCATTTGCTTTTCACAAACAAGTTTGCATATTATTTATTGCAAGCATAGATTTGCATGTATATTTGCTTGGACAATTTTTTAAAATCCCAACATTACCTTTGTTATTTCTAATGTCATTTGTCTTACGTTTGCGTATATATATATATATATATATATATATA